AGCTTTATTTTGAGCAGGGGGCAAAGACAAGGCAGCACTTTACATCTTCTCCAGTTTTCTAATTCAGGGGAACGCAGTGGTTCTCGGTGCGGGGCGGGGGGCGCTTACATCCGGCAATGTCTGAAATACCTGTGTTTGTCACGGCTGGGGGTTGGGCCTATCTGCCTCTGGTGGGCAGAAGCCAGGGATGGTGCTCAACATCCTCTGATGCACAGGACAGCCGTCCAGCAACCACGTATGATCCCGCCCAGGGAGTCAGTGGTGTGTGGTTGAGAAATTCAGGGATGAGAAAAGCCAGCAACAAATTCCCTATAGCCATATCTGAGGAAAAGTCATATTCTATGATTTAAAAATCATGTTCTATCTTCCTGTGGATTTGCAAGTGTGTGTAAAATGGATTTGCTATTTCTGTAAAGATTGGTGGGAAAGGTAGAGACTAAAGGTTTGACTTCTTTGGAGCCAAAGATTTGGGGCAGGCCATTTGGGGCAGGTGAGCCCAGTAGCCCCTCCTCTAACCAGTGGTGGCGAGACTTGCAGCCTGTTAACTCCTTGGGCTCTGGCCTCCTCATCTTGTAACCTCACAGGGCTTTTGTGAAAATCGAGTGAAAATATGTGTCTAACTGTCAGGCATGTCTGAGCGCTCTATGTGTTTGCTTTTAATATTCTCTGTGATCTCTAGATAGGGAGGTTGTGCTGGTTAAACGTGTTTATATTAAGATGTTGTGGAAGAAATCTTAAGGATAAGACAAGGAAGGAAACATCTCTTCTTTGCCGGCTGGCCCACTATGGTCAGAAGATGGTGCTGAGAGGGACTCTGCAAGAAGCAGGGGCTCCCCTTCCTGGTTCCTTCCTTCTTGTTCACGCGGAGCCTGTGGTGTTGACTGTGTGCCACCCGGGGGTGCCCACCCTCCAGCAAATTTTGCTCCCGAGTCCTGGCCCCTGGTTTCCTGCCTGCCGGTGTCAGCCCCTGGCACCCTGTGACTTGTCTGTCGCCTCGTGGATGGTGGCCCCAGGCCTTCTAGTGAGGTCTCAGTCCCAATTTGTCCTCTCTTGGGTATTCTCCCTCAGCTCTAAGGCATTCTTTAGAGTTCTCTTCCATCCTTTTCTCTGTAGTTAATTCCCTGTGGGTTGATCACTCCCTGTATTAAATTTCTCCTGCTCAAATTACTGGTAGTTTCTGTTGTTGGACTGGACCCTTGCATTCTTGAAAGAACTTGGAACGCTTAATGCTCCTGAAGTAGAACTTCAAACTTAGAAGTCTTTTGAAACCAATGTGTTTTGACAAATCTTAGGTAAATACAAAAACCATGTTGCCGTGGAGAGTTGGCGCTTCCATGGGATCAATGCAAGAGTAGGTTTCTGTATGAAAAAACACTGGTCTTGAATACGCAGCAGCTACAACATGTCTGTGGGCACCAACATGTGGATGGGGATTGGATGATCTTATCTATGGCATGCTCAGGAAGGAGATCTGAATCATAAACTGTCCTTGGCACCAGGAGACACGAACTCCTCTTGTGCCCAATGAAATGTTGCCTTGTGTATCCTGGACCCAGACGGTGCTGGGGGACAGACCCTCATGACTTCGAGCACCATGTCGGGAGCGCTGTCTCAATGGTATATCATGTCCCTTACGCCAGCGTTCTCCAAGTGTCAACATAAGGTATGCTTTCGGGTGATACTGTCTGGCTAATATCCTGAAAAGCTGGCCTGCTTAACCAAGCCAGCTTGAAGTACAACATCCACAAGGAGTGACTAGAGATCAGTAAGTAGTCAAATTTTCTCTATTTTGCCCCTGAAGATCATGTAGTTGACTTTAGTGTGTAACTTCCTCGGTTTGCTTTATAGTCTAAGAGTCTGATAAGTGCACTCGCTATTCTTGTTCATTGTGAACATATATATATTTTAACCAGGGAAAGAGGGTAAACTGATTTGATATACTTAAAAAAATAGAGATGACTCAAAACGTACAGAACAATGAATATGGAATAAAGATCTTTAAGAGTGGGGAAAGAAAGAAAAACCACGTTGCTAAAATCTTTCAGCATTTCGTTTTTTAATTGTTCTAATAGTACATTCTTTAAAAGGAGTTCACAACTTCAAGTCCAAGTAGAAGGGTTACATAGTGCGAATGGAAAAGCTGTCATTTTCGGGGGGGCTATTGGCTAATTACCCTGTTCTTAGGGTTGAACTGATGCAAAAATCCCTTAGAAAAGCTTCATTTGTTGCCTGTAAAGAGTCTTCTTAAGGTCACTTTTACCTCCAGACCATCCCCTTGCTTCTAGTGAAAGAGTTTTGCTTGGTAATGGCTTGTGGTTCCACAGTGTTTTGTGTATGAAAAGCGCAGACTAAGAGATGCTACCGAAGTCGCTCCAATTGTAGATTCTGCCCCCAAAGGAAGTCCCGACACTGTAACACGTCCCCTCAGTTTTCAGCAAGACACGTGAAAAGAAAACTCAAGTCCCGTTTTAATCTTTACCTAGATTGCCACGTTCAGTGGCGTCGCGAGGCTGCCGTGCCGTGGGACACGCAGCTCCCGTGGGCCCGGTGTGCTCGTTAAATACCCGCGGGTTTGGGGTGGCGGCCCCAGTCCCGGGTCGGGGTGGGGGGGGTCCGCAGTCAGAGAGGCATCTGGTGGCTAAGCCCACGACGCCATGCTCTCCATCCGCCGCCCGGGTTCCTGTGCAGAGCTGGGGCTCACTGCTGGGACAAGAGCGCGCTCCTATTTGCTTTCATTTTCTCCAGACGCTTCACTAAGTGGCCGTTGCTCACCTCAAGCTCTTCCGTCTTGTCCAGTGCACAGCGCAGCTGGAAACAGACGAAAGGCAGCTTTGAGGAACGTGCTTCCTCCCCACATTAGAGGATTGCCAAGATTCCCTCCTACTGCAAAACACAGAGCCTGGACCCACCGAGTTCCCAAAGTGCACACGCATCCCTGTGCGGGCACACATATTTCTTAACTATGCCTTAAGGGAAATGAGGCACGGGATTCCGGCCTCAGGAGTGACGAGGCAACCCTCCTCCTCTGAAACAACTGGACCCCAGACATGGCACAGTCCTGGGCGTCCTGATGGTCTCCCAAAACACCAGTGAGGCAAACAGAAAAGAGCTGAGCCCCGGCCAGTTGGAGGGGTTGGTCCCCGAGGCGTGGGCAACCGGGAGCAAGGTTTCTACAACCAGAAACCAAAGCGGGACTGGCTGAGGCCAAGATGGCCACCCCTGGAGCCAGGCCCCCAGAGCCTGGGAGTCAGAGTGGAGGCCACACCAGCAGGGAGCCGTCTGGCCCAACAGGCAGCAAGGCGGCGCGCAGGTGCCTTAAGGTGGGGGCACAAGAGCCCCGTGGCTGTGGAGACATGCACCATCAGAAGAGTCTGCGGCTCTGCTTCTGACCCAAAGCCCTCAGGGAGGGTGGCTGGGGTCCTGGAAGGGGTTCGCCTCCCTGCCCCCCGTCACTAGCAGAGGCAGAGGCAAGCCCTCTTTGCAGGAAATTTCCCCAAGTCAGGCCTGGAGTGCTCCTGCAAATCAAAGGCAAGCATCACTTCACGAGACACCAAACGCATGAAGGACAAGCCATTTGAGCCAGCAACAGAATTCGGGCCTCCAAGACTGCCATGTGTCAGTCCTCGGATGGACGTGGAAAACAGGACAGCTGTGTATGACATCTTTAAAGAAAGAAGGGCACCTCGGGGCACCTGGGTGGCTCAGTCGGTTGGGCGTTTGCCTTCAGCTCAGGTCACGATCCCAGGGTCCTGGGACTGAGCCCCGCCTTGGGCTCCCTGCTCAGTGGGGAGTCTGCTTCTCCCTCTACCCCTCTCCCCTGCTCATGATCTCTGTCTCTCTTTCTCTCAAATAAATAAATAAAATTTTGAAAAAAAAAAAAGAAATAAGGATACAGTTAACACAGAAGCATACACGACCATACAAGAAGCAAGCATCAGGAATGAATACACTTTAAAAAGACAAGGGACGAACAGGAAGATCTACCAGCAGAGCAGTAGGCGCTGCAGGGAGACGGTCTGACCGCCTCCGGTTAGAGCCCCAGAGGGCACGTGGAGAGACGAGGGGAGAGGAATACTTAAGGAGGTCACGGGTGAAAATTTTCTAAACTTGATTTAGAAATAGACTTCATGGATCCAAGAAACACCATACATCCTGAGCAGAACAAACAGCAACAAACCTGCATAGGACACATGAGGGTGAAGCAGCGGAAGATCAAAGACAAAAAAGAACTTGAGAGAACCAGGAGAGAAGAGGCCACCTACAAAGGCCCTGGTGAGAAGGACAGACTCTGGGCGGCCCCACAGCCACCATCCCCGGGGAGACCCGGGATTCAGCCCCAGCCTCCCCAGGGCATTGGCCCCGCCCTTGGGCAGTGGCTTGGCACCAGGCCCCGAACAGTCCGGGGTAGGGGCAGGGGCAGACGCTCCCTCTGCTGCCAGCTAGACCATCATTTCCCATTCTTTCCCTACAAACAGCCTAGAAAATTTACCTCTCTTTGGAGTTTCCGTTTTTCGGCCTTAAGTTCATCTTCTATTTTTTCGGCATTTTCAGCAGCCGATTTATAACGTGATACTTGACTCTCTAACCTTATCACCTAAAAGGAAGGGAAACATCGTATGTGTAAATGAACAGGCCTGTTTTCTTTCTCCAGTTGCTTTATCACATGTGGGATCAAAGGGCGAGGTTCATCAAATGGGAGGATGGACCATGCGAACCGTTATGATCCAGCACTGTGGGCTGCTATATTGGTTCTAGCCAAGCGAGCCGTTCTGAGCAGCCTGGTGCTGACAGCTGTGAGGGTCTCATCCCCTCTCTGACCCTAGTCTAAACTCGTGGCTCCACAGGGCTGCCGTCCCTCCCTGACGTGGGGCCGTTCTGCAGGAGGAGGTAGGTCGAGGCAGAACGATGCTGTGGGCAAAGGTTCAGCCAGGACCTCAGCTCCTGTCCAGTCTCTCCTGGGGTGGCATGGTGGGGATGAAGCAAGGGAGAAGGAAAGGCCAGCAACTAGTGCAGAGGAAAAGAAGGAGGCTTGGGGATGGCATTCCACAGCCAGGCCTGCGGCGCGGGACAGGAAGAGCCACAACCCACTGGAGACTCTCAGTCCGCTGAGACCAAAAGCATGCTTCCTAAACTCATCCCGTCCCAGGCGTGCTATTCTCATTTCTGTCTCCTCAAAAACTCCCCAAAGCGCTAGCCACAGGGACCCATAACTGAGCGGGGAAGAGTACCGACTTCATTTCTCCCTTGGCTGAGGACACAGCTTGCCCCAGACTGGCCCAACATGCTAGAGGCATAAATACCCCCAATCTAGAAACCTGGTTGGAAGAGAAAGGCAGAAAATCCAGGCAAGAGGGATGGCCCCACATGAAGTGCTTTTTAACTAAATAAATAATTTTTAAAGAACAACATTTTTAAGCTCCCCCGCCCCAGCCACATTAGTGATTTTCCACAACCAGCCATTGTTTATAAAGGGTTAGTACCCAGTATAACAACCCGGATCCTCCTAGTGATCTTTCCTTCCCTACTTTCTCTCTGCAGGAGATACACGGAGGGCCCTTTCTGGTTCTGTAAATCTCTGCTCCTCTTTGTGCTCAGCCTTTCAGGGCGAGTTCTAGCAAGTACAACTCAGTTAATCATCGCTTTCACTGCCTGTTATTGCTTAAAAGTGCACACACATACATTTTGTTCTAATGCGGTTATCTCTTGCTCAGATTTTGCAAGTTTAAATTTGAGGTCGCTGATCTGTCTGTTGGCATCCCCTAAAGGTTGAAAGAGAAGGAAAATTTGTTAAGCTCTTGGGCTTTTAAAATGTTAAAACAATAATTCCTGGGATCCAAGCCCCTACTGAGTACTTGGCATGCAAATCTGGAAGTTCTGGCCTGTGGCCCCACCAGGGGGGTGGGGTGTGGGGGGAGGGGTGGGTTGGGAGGGCTGAAGCTGAGATAGGAGAAGGCACTCTCTCTCTCCATGTGCCCAGGCTGAGCAAGTAAGTGCCAGGCGGGAGAGCCCCTCCGGAGCACAGAACACAAAGAGGTGGTCAGGGGAGGGGAAGGGGGGAGACTGCGGGTAATTTTATCTCCCTTTAAGCCTCTTTCTAGTTTACTTGTATGGAAAATACCTTCTAATTTTTCCATACAATCAGCTGATCACAAGGCAGTGGTATCCAGCATGGAAAACGTGGTTTCTCACAGTGCATCATAGGGTGGTAACTTGGTGCACGTTTTGGGGTACCTTTTCTAGTCCTGAGGCTCAGACAGAAACATCCTCGCTCTGCCCACCTGCCCATCCTCGTTCAATCCCACACAGAAACATCTTTGCACTCTTGTGCTCAAGGGCTTTTGGGGGCCAAGGGGAACGCCGGGCGTTCTTTGCCATGATGGTTTTTCTCTTGTAGCCCAAGTATAATACACACAGGACACTTAAAGGGTTTACTTGTATACAAGGATGGACATTTACTTTGCAGATCCATTACATGCATGTCTGTCCCATTTTCTAAGACATCACTTCCAGGGTGCAGGTTGTCTAGCTTGCCATTCTTCTGTCTCTCTTCCAGCTGTCCTTTGAGTTTCTTAATCTGAAAACACCCACCAATAAAATATGTGAATTTCTGTATTCTAAATGAGGCCGGAAGTTGAGCGTAGAGCCTATGGCACAGGAAGCGGTGTGTAGAGGAAAGAAAAACCAACACCCCATAAATACACTTGGATGTTGCTGTGGAGTTATTTCGTGGGTCTCCAAGGTGCCAAAGAGATAGGAGTTACGTAATTAAGCACAAGAAAAATGCAGTAAATGGTTACAATCCACCAGCCACCACAGGGAGTCTCTCACCTTTAATAACCAATCCAAATAAAGAGATGAACAACCTTCGGCCAGTTGGCACTCTTCTCAGGAAGTAATAGCATAACGGGTGAAAATGGAATCGTATTCACCGTATCAGGCAGAAATTATTTTGTAACTCTGGGTGAAAAGTTATTTCTAAGTTTGAAATTCCTCTTGAATTCAGGAGGAGATGGTACATACATAACATGCTTTAAACGTTTATCTCAGAGTTAGTCAGTGCACTTAGTCACCTTCGAGTTATTCACTTAGAAGCTGGGCAGGGCCTCCTGGAGCCTTCCAGGCCCAGAAGTAGTGTCCTCGAGGGCCTAGCCGAGTTGTGTCTCCCTCACAGAGCCCATGCTCAGGGAGCTGGCCTCTGCAGGGCTCTGCTCTCCCTGGCCGTCAGCAGTCACAACCGTAGAAAGTTCCGGTGTCTGATGGGCAGTGTCCCAGCCCTTGTCCTGTTAACCTCCGACCTCTGTGGACGCCCCCGCCCCCAAAAGCCAGCACAAAGCAGAGCAGAGCCCCAGGCACACACTGCCCACTGTATGCTGCGCTGCTCTAAGGAAATAGGTACAGAATTAGGACGGATACGTGTTTTTAAAAGATCACAGGAACCTCAATGCAGCTACCACATTGAGTGCTTTCCCCAATTTTGAGAGCAGCCTTCAGCGGAACTGTAAGCAGTATGGCAAAATATCTTTGATTAGGCTTATGAAGGAGACTGGGAGGAATTGAGTTTCCTTAGAATGTGACTGTGGAAGGACTGAGTAACTACCCTGCACATAAAAAGACCAAACAGGACAGCTGGTTAGTGTTTCTGGAGGTGGAAGAACGTGACGAAGGTGAACCACAAGTAAAACCACTTTGATCAGCTGCAACAAGGAAATGCCTTCTGGAAAGAGGTGCTGATCACTGAGGGATCCCAAGACCAACCTCCCTGAGCCAGCAGCAGTCAGAGACCTGGTGTCTGGAGTAACTCAGTAAAGCTCCTGCCTCTCCATGGTTATTCTAGCCCCTTCTATGTAAATATTTGTTTTAGGCAGCAATTGGCATAGAGCGAACCACATTCGGTTCCATGGCCTCGAGTCTTCGGGACATCCTCTCTGAACCTCACGTGACTTACGACGATAGAACTGGTAAGGACACAGGTTGGCTTGGAAATCGCTTCAGGCATAATGCGTTAGGGTTTTCCCGATAAAGCAAGAAGTTAAGTATGGGAAGGTTCTCGGGCTCAGGTGCTGCCGTTGGGGAACTCATAAAGTAATAAAATGATTGTTACCTGTTCCAATAAGCATTCCCGTTCATCAACAAGCTTTTTCAACCTAATATCTAAAGAAATCAGAAAGATAGAGGTTGAGGTGAATCCATGTAGTGCACCGTTCAGCAGCATGCTAAATCGAAGAGTGAGCATTCAGGTTAGTGAAACTAATGATGAAGTATTATACACGTACCACAGTGAATGAGGCCACACACAGGACTGGGGGAGACGTCAGCCGAGGGAGAGTGGGTGGGGTCCACCTCCCACAACATGCTTATCTCGTCAGGGGCAGCATCCGGCTGCATGCAAACAGGCTAGTCTTCTACTTTGGGTTAGCATGCAAGGGATCTAGGGCCAAACCACACTGCAACACAAGATCTCACAGGCTTCATAGTTTAACATCATTAGCAAGGTACAAACACACGGAGCATCGCGATTGCTATCAATGGCATTTTCATTATCCTTGACTTCCCAAGGTCACGGCCCAGAAGAATGGATCTTTCTTTTTTTCTCAGAGACTCCCCAGTGCCACAGCTTTGACTATATGTTTACAAATCAGAGGTCTGCGGACAACACGTCCGCTCCCCTGCTCGTGCAGGGTGGGTATTGTCCGGAGAAATGCAGTAATGCTGTGGGTTTCTGTCACCCCTGCCACCCGGGACACGGAAGAGTGGCATACACAGAAGGCTTTCGAAATCCCCCGGACATTTCTCTGAAGGGGTGTCGAGTGATATAATCTGTAGAGTGCAGAGGAGGAAACCAAAGCTTGGGGGGGGGCAGTTTAGGGGTGTGGGCAAATCCCTACACCAGTTTAAAGGCCAATCAGGAAGCTGTGGCGGCGACAGCGAATCTGATGGGTACTGCAGGGTCACCCTGTGCCAGGCACGCCCGAGCAGCTGCGCCTTCACCCACGCAGCCCTACAGGTGAGCCCTGCTGCTTTCTCTCTCTTCCACAGGCGAGGGCCCGCACCTCTAACCACTGCACTCCTCTGTGGCTCCAGATCTAAACCCAGAGCCTGGAGTCGGAGCCGGACTCCCGGCCCGAGACTCTTTCTCCTGAGGGCACCATGCTCTCACGTGGCGCAGCTCTGATTCACCGCGTGAAAAAGGAAATAAATAATCTGTATAAAATGCGCTTGTGTCCATCTAAACAATCACCTATCTACATTCTCATCGAGTTACATGCTTTCTCTAATTGTTCTTCCAAGCACCCCACGGTGTTATTTTGAAAGGCATAACCACAAAATAAATTAAACCAGAAATGTCAAGCGTAACATAAGATAGATTTATGATCCTCTGGAGTTCCATTTTAATTTACACAGTCAAGTTGCTTCCGATAGTTTATTCTTTCTCTTCTACAAGCCCATCCAACGCTGAAACATCAATGTCATAAACCCAGCTCTTTATTCAATATTATTTTTTATTTTATTTTATATTCTATATACAAAACCCGTAGGCATCCTAAGAAGCAATGGGTATGTCAGAAAGTGATCTTGAATCTCATCTATCTGTTGTACAATTTTATTATTATAGCGTTTCGATTATATCCTGGATAGCAAGTACAAAACAAACGTTAAGATGTAAGAATGGAGCTGGCCAACAAATACAAAATAAGGGTAACATGACCTTCACTCGTATGGTGAGAATATGAAAAACACAGAAGTGAAATTTTTTTTTTTTTTTAAAGATTTTACTTATTTATTTATTTGACAGAGAGAGACACAGCGAGAGAGGGAACACAAGCAGGGGGAGTGGGAGAGGGAGAAGCAGGCTTCCCGCTGAGCAGAGAGCCTGATGCGGGGCTCGATCCCAGGACCCCGGGATCATGACCTGAGCCGAAGGCAGATGCTTAATGACTGAGCCACCCAGGCACCCCAGAAGTGAAATTTTAAGGGAGAAAAGTTTTACAGCAGAATTGGAGAGGAAGTTTAAACTACATCGTTTGAAGAGAATGGAAAAAAAGAAAGCCGCGAATTAAGTGGATAGGAAGAAAACGGGCACTACTTTTGTAGTTTTAAAAATCACCAAGTCTGATTTGTGGAGCGCACAGCCGCTTATCGTCGAGACGCTGACTGCCCTCCTTCCCCAGAGCGCTGCAGACCTACCACTGCCCTGCATTTAGAAAGTTCCACTGCTCATCGCTGGCCTATAATCCCCGATGATCAACAGACATAAACTATTCATTTGAGGCCACAATTGCAGTGCTCAGAAACAAGGCAGGGAAGAAAATGAAGTCACAGTGTATCAAATTTAGTTCTCTCTTATACGGAGAAGTCAAAATGACTTGGCTGTGAAGGGATTTCAATTTTTAGAAGTCTGGCTTTTCTGCGTTAAATTCCGACAAACGTTCTCTGGGACACATGTCCAGAGGCCCGTGAAATGAGAAGCACTTATGGTGACGAGGTCTGAGGACAGTCCCCGGGGGCAGCCAATGCCAGCAGCTTTGAAATTCTCTGAGCCCCTGTTCTCCTTGGTCTTCCTTCTGGCCTGCACCCTGTCACCTCACCTGTCCAGGGACAGCAAGGTCAACCCCCAGCAACGACCCCAATCACTCAGCACTCCCTCTCTGCACTGCTTTACCTGGATCTGGCCCACAGCCCCGGAGGGCAGGTTCCACCTCCATTTTCAGAGAGCGAGTGAGACACAGTGCGGGTGAGTAGCTGGCTCGTAATAACACCCTCAGGAGCAGAATTTTCATTTTGGGGGTTAATTTCAGCCATCGTGGGCCTCAGGCTTCCTCTCCCAAGGCTAGAGGAAAATCACCTCCTCTCCATATTGAAAAGATAGTGAGGGGGAAGCCGAGGTCTCTCAAGGAATCCACTCCCGCCCTGCACTGACTTTGTCTGATTATAATCCATGTGGGCTGTTTTCATCATCCCCGGGGCCAGCCTCCCACGCCAGGAGAGCACCTCCTTCCTGCAAAAGGCAGAAGAGGGACAGGGTTTTTCTCCCATTTACAGGGCCCAGGAGGGGTGTACAGATGGGTACCGTACATGCCAGCCACCGCCGAAGCCGTTCATATCTTGAAAAATATACATGTAAAATATGTATATATGTAAACAATAGGTAAATATATGTAAATAATATGTAAAACGATATGTAAAATAATATGTAAATAGTGTATAAAAAACATAAGGGGCATTGGATAGGGTAAAAGGGAAAGAGTGATGGGTGCCTGGGTGGCTCAGATGGTTAAGTGTCTGCCTTCGGCTCAAGTCATGGTCCCAGGGTCCTGGGATCGAGTCCCGCATCGGGCTCCCTGCTCAGCGGGGAGCCTGCTTCTCCTTCTGCCTCTCTCTCTGTCTCTGTCTCTTATGAATAAATAAATAAAATCTTTAAAAAAAAAAAAAAAGGGAAAGAGTGAGGGTTTTTTTCTCCTGAAAGACAAAGTTTTCTCTATATGATCATCACACTGATTAAGCATGTATTCTAACGTCACGTAGGCACGAACACCTCTTCCTTTTGTTCCGGAGCCTGGACATTTGGCACGAATCTCACTGCTGTGTTCCCTTGTTTCCATGGCATGCTGTTCAAGGTGGTCTCCTAGGAAAGGGGTCTACCGTAGAAAACAGGAACCCCAAACTGCATAGACCCCCAGGACTAGCACTCCAGGGTCCTAGTGACAGTAGAGATTTAAATGTTCAGGTCATTAGGTTTTCCGTTTGCTGGAAACGCTAAACATTAATAGAAAGTACTCAGTGCGATACATCTCATTTCTAAAAACCCCTGAAAAACATGTTACTAAAGAGCATCAGTTAGGGGTGTGGGCAAAACCCAAGGACTGCACACGAAGCAGTTACTGCTTCTCCACCTTTGTATATTATCAAATAAGAACCTCTAATTCAAAATTCTGTGCTTTTTTTTTTTTTCCTCACTTCCTGATTCTCAGCTGTCCACTTTCACTAGAAGCTGGGTCCTTTCTGCTCATCCACTGGCACAGTGCCTTCCACATATGAAGTGATCAAAATGTCTATTACTTAAATGGATGTGTGAATAATCGAGATGCCTGGACAGTGGACGTGAGGGACACGAAGTATGCCACAATGTCCTTAAATGTGCTGTTGAGTAACAGAGGAAAAGACCTTAAAATGGCTTGATGATCTCACCGTCCAGTGAGCTGGGTTGCTGAATCATCTCCCCAGGGGCCTCTGAAAGTAGGAATGAGAGCTCTTTCTGACGCCCATTCCAGGCTGAGTGCGGCTTTGCTAAAGTGAGAGGCATCCGCTGCCTCCTTTCAAGGCCTTTGCAGCCCTCGGGCTGGAGCCTCTCTAGCAAGCCTTGTAGTTTTCCACTCACGTGGCCCAAGTGGGGACGGTGTATCAGTCCCCTGCTTCAGGACGCTGACATGGGAGGAGTCAATGCTTACTTGCCAATTTCACCATATCCTTCACAGCAGTCTTAGAATTGGCACATGTAAGCAGAGCAACAGAATGGAGAGCCTTCTTCGCTGGGGCTCCTCACCGGAACCACAGACCACAGAATATTCTATGAGGGAAGATCTTCCCAGTTCTCCCCAGGAGGGCACAACACTCCGGTCTAGGTACCAGGAGAGACGTTCATTCATTACTGACAAAGCAATGAGTCCTTCACACGACACAGATTGGGAATTAGCAGCCTGGAAGTAGGCGCTACTTTGAAGATAATAATTATGTGGAACAGTAGCCGAAGTCAAGTAGCCCAAAGAGTGGAATCACAGGCTTGTGAAATTATAAAATGTTTTTATTTCAATTACATAATAACACTTAGGCTTGCCTCAAATTTTATTGAGGTTTTGGTCTTTTTTGCACTCAATTATACCTTGTAACAGTGATATGAATTCATATAATCTCATAAAGTGTCAACAGCATTCATAATGTACAGTCCTTTGTGATTTTAGTATTTTACAACTGTTTTTTTTATTTAACTTTACAACTATTTTTAAAAATGCTTCCTTGTATAGAAAATATATATTTCCTTCAGGAAGACCAAATCAAGACTTTTCCAATAATATATTGAGATAAAACAAATGAAAATATTTATACCAAAATACCAAAAGTGACCCAACTATTTAAAATATCCTGTTATAGTTCAATTAGCAGTTTGCACAAGAATGGTACCTTTTGTATTTTTCTTTCGAATATAAGACAAATAGAAAGAGGAGTAATTTAAAGGTTAAAAAAATAAATTTTAGAAATGGTCCCCCTGCACAAAAACTGCATTAGGAAGTGCAATTTCAATGTATGTCTCTTCCAGAAACAAATTAAAAAAAAAAAACAACTTTGCATAAAATGACTCTGGTACATAATCAGCATGAAGTGAAGTCAAAATCTACAAAATAAATTCAGGTATCATCAACAATGAGATCAAAAGTATCGGTTTGAGATAAAATACTTATATGAGGTAAAGGGAATTAAGATCTCCCAGTGCTTTAAGATACTTGTTTCTTATCCCTAACATGATTAATTACTGTCCTAAGGTGCAAATCTTATCACTCAGTGACCTATACACTATTTGGCCATTTATCTCCTTTTAAAATAAAATACCATATAGATTATATCGTACACATCAAAATCAAATATGAAAGGACATATATTTGAATGAAGACACATTAATTTAAATATCAACTATACTCACAAATCTCAGAATGCCATTTGGTCATTTCAATTGGGTGCTGGTGTATTTGGTCAAGAATATCAGCCTAAGGCAAATGCTAAAGAGCTTTATTCGGATTGTAAGCAGAAACACGCAGTGTCCGTTGTCTAACACGGCCGGAATGTTCTCCGTTAGGACTCTTACTGATTACAGGTGTGTCTTTCTTTCTAATCTGGGTGATAACCTTAATGAGGAAGAATACGTCTACAAGTAACAGTCTATAATCCAACGTGGTAGATAGCTCGGTGGTTGATTGTCCTACGGTGCATCTATCTCAATGTGGAACGTTTTAGGAACCTCACCCGTGGAGAGAGCAGACGAGCCTCTGACAGCTGGGCTTCGTGTCCAGTCCTTGGCCCCTGTCCACTCACGACATGGTACAGTCTTCCTTGCTTCTGCCCTTCTCGCTTCCGCCTCTCAGCTCGTCCCTGCCTTCTGAAGTGGAGGCTCCCAGCTCCCCTGTAGGTGCTAAGTCATCGTTTTCTACGACCTTTTTGACTCTCTGACTAGGCCCCCCTGCCATCTCATGCTGCTCTGTACTTCCTGTTTGAGGCGCATCATCACTGTCCTTGAAGGGACCTTCGTTCTCCAGCAGGGCACCGCCAGGCACCGCTCCACTCCCTGGTTCTGGAGGACCGCCGTGAGCGGCGCCATCTTCTAGAACGGCTTCCTCCAGCTCCTTATCACTGGCACTCGTGCCTGACGACGGCGCGGTGTCACCCCCTAAACCTAATGTGCCCCCATTAGCTGTTTCCTCCCCCCCATTAGTGTTTACATCATTATCTTCTCGGTTAAATTTTGCATCCAACTCAATTCCAGGATTTTCTGGACAGTCAACATTTTCACCACTTCCTGCTACACTTTTCTCTCCTGGACCTTCAGTTACCTCATTTTGTGCTTCTGCACCTGGTTTTTTGTCAGGAAGAGCTACCTGCTTGTCTTCCTTCACCTCACTTAAATCTGAGTTCTGAAATGTTAACTCTTTCTTAGCATCTTTAAGGGTTTCTACAGGCACCAGTGTTTTCTTCTTCTTGTTTTTCTTCTTCTTGTTCTTTGTCTTCTTCTGTGATGAATCCAGTGCCTCTCCCTGTTGGTCATTCTTTTCTTCCTCGGGCTCTTTCACATCTAGGGGCTCGCTTTCGGCATCTGCCACAGCGGGACCTGTTGCTCCCTGCAGGCTGCTTTCTGCCTCTGGACAACGAGGAATGTTCTGCACTTCTGTCTGGGTTGGCTTCTCGTCCCTCAACCCCCTTTCCTCATCCTCCTTTTCATCATTCTCCCCACCTACCGCTGTGCTCTGACCTGGGAGCTCCTGGGGCTCAGCAGCTTCCTGCTCGGAGAGCTCTTTGTCTAGGTCATGCCCTGTGCTTGGGTCCAGCTCTGTGGGGGCTTCTACGGCACACTTTTCATCATGACTCACGTTGTCATCGCTGTAGGCTGGAGGGCCGGAGGCTTCTGTGCCCACCTGCTCCCCGAGCCCCGTTAGCCCTGCCTCCACCACGTCCTCTGTGGGGCTCCCACCTTGCTCCCCAGTGTCTGTGCTGCCCAGCCCTCCGACTTCAGATGGTTGCAGAGAGGCAGATTCTTGACATGGCTTTGTGCTACCCTCTCCCAAGTTGGTTTTCAAGTCTTCCTCGTTTTCTGCAGATTCTTTACTGTGGTTTTTAATATCCAAGGCATCATAACTGTCCTGCCCAGTGCCAGGACCTGGGATTTCACCATCACGCAAACATTCGGACTGCTCAAGGGAAGCCCCAGTCCTATCATCTGGTGTGTTTATGACCTCATTGGACTCAACCTGCTCTGTATTTTCAAGGAAGGAAGCGTTCTCTAGAATCTGGTTTTGAGCCTGCTCCTCATTCGTGGCATCTGCTAATACTCCTAGGGAGGGGGCACTGTCTTCAGAGGCTTTCTGGTCCTTGGCATTTTCACCAGGATGGAACACCTCTGTGTCCATACACTCCTGTGCTGGGTCCTCTTTGTGCTGTTCTTGCTCAGTATTCTGCAAGATTTCTTTTTTCCCCACATTCTCCACAATTTCACTTTTCACCTCCACTTCACTGGCTCTTCCTAAAAGACCATTGAGAAAATTGAAGGGACCCCATGATGTGGTGACCACTTAACATACATTACAGCGTAAACACATGTTCTCTCTCCCACCCGACCCCATTCCTAAGGAGAGAGAGTCATCAAAGAATCACACGGAACAGAAGCCTTGGCCAGGTCTGTGCGGCAAATCAGTCATTGCATCAGCCAGCGTTCGATGCGCGGAGGCTGCCGCCACCATCTCGAAGGCGAGAGTGGCTGCTGGTGCCGTCCGGTGTGAACTGGTTTTCAAAGGTGCAGTTAAGTTTTAACAAATAGAGCTCTGGATCAGGCAGCCAAACAATCCAAAATAATGGGTTTAAGAACGACCTGAAGTTCGTTTCTAAATGCACAGCTGGACTACTCACACTTCTTTGTCTGTCAAACTGCACTGTGCGTCACATAGGCCTAAAACCACCTTCAAGTCATTTTTAAAAGACACCTTCACTCCACCTTAAAAAACTCAGCCTCAAGGTCAGTCTCAAGGAAGATACTAACTTGAAACAGCTCACGTGAGGTGAAAAGAAATCCACCCCCCACCATCTAATCACTGCGCTCCTGAGAAAGCAGCCTGGTGCCCTAAACTCCTCTGCCCCACCCCACAGGGTCTGGTGGGAGGGCCAGCAGGTGGCAAGTGCTTACGATCAAGATGACCACTGAATCAATAATAAGTTATTCATCCACTGAAGAAGTACAAATTAAAAACATGCTATGACTTTGGAATGGACGCTTATATTTTAGATTCTCCAAACCAACTAACCCCTGGCATATCAGATTCCATGTTGCTGAAAGTCAAAGCCTGATAATTTTATCACACCGTGGTCTCCACAAGTGGGTGCGCTTACCCTAGAGAAAATGGGAGAAGTAGCAGGGCTTCTAGTTAGTTTTGCTTCACCCTTTAAAGATGTCCATCAGTGAATACGTTTTATAACACACACTTTGTACTGATGAATAGTATGTGTATATATAAATTAAAAATACACGTATTGGAAAGTTCCCACAATTCTCTACTGATAGGGATATGCGATCAAAGAACATTTGGACACCACTTAGGGAAGTGATATTTCTGGTTCTTTAAGGGTTGGTTTCATAACGGTTAACAAAGATTTATAAAACGTATGTTTGAACAAGAGCAACATGATCAAATTCCTAGCTGCTCACACAGCTTATAGATAGGTAGGATGGAAACCAATCAATTTATCTTCTTTTAGTAACTTTTAAGCAATCAAAAGCGCCGTGTCCCTTTAGGAATCATCGAGATAATGAGGTACATCTCCCTATGAAGCAAGTCCTGAGAAGCTGGGGCCCACAGGTTTCTACATTTCCATAAATAAAAAAAAAAAATAAGATGAAAGCTTCTATATGGAAATTAGAGACATGGGCTCTGAGCGTATTCCAGCCTCACTGTAGAGAGCAGGAATGCAATGGGTAATAAGGGACAAGTGAGCCTTACCTGCCGGCTGCAACTCCAGGCTGCACCCCGGATTCAGAAGGCTTATTTTATCCAAAAGCCAAATATTATGACCAATGTTAATCTGTGAATCTTTTCAGATATTTGCAAATTGTATCAAGTATTCTTACAATCTACTGGATTCCCCAATTTATATTCTTTCAGAAGCAAAAACTGACGTACAAAGGAACATCACCTCTGACAAAGGGGAAGGCACCCCTTCACCCTGCCCACACTCCCCACCGGGGGCTGCCTGTCCGCCTCGCCCCTCCCTGCCCCGGCCCGGGGCCACTGAGCGGTAGCCTGAGAACGGCACCCAAGACATACTCTGTCACAAGCCCCCATCTGCTGTCCACGGCACCTCACACCCTCAAAACACTTCACGGTGTGTAGGATGTGCAGAGCTGGCTTGGAACCAGGGTTAACTATCTTACTTTACAGCCTCTGCTATTCTGATCTTTGGAGAAGTCTGTAACGGAGTAAGTTAGGAAGCCATCCTCGGCCCAACTAGCACTGTCAGAACTGTCCCTTAATTTCTGAGACGATTCACCTTGCATTCACAGTTTCACGTGGTGGCTTTGAGAAGCAAGAGAAATGTATTCCTTAGCCATCGGTGGTGAGCACTGCACAGAGATGCACACCAGACAACACACGTGAGTGACCGCATCGTGTGGCAAGGGAGCTCCCCAGAAGTGGCAGGACGCATGGCATGCTGTGTGAGTGTTAATTGATCAGTGATGATTACGTCAACTCTAATAATGCATGGAAGGTGAATCGATGCGGACTAGAGGATGAAAAGACCCAAAGGAAGGTGAGCACTTACCTAGCATCCCATCCCCTGCCGTCCTGAGGGCGTTTAACTCTTCTTTCGTTATCTTGGAAGGACCTTGGTGTCCGGCGTCATTTAGAGTGTCTGAAGTCTCTCCATTAGTAGCTAGCTCTGAATTTAGGACTATTCCATGTTTCTGGGAACAAAAACAGACTCGTTGTAATACTGACTGATACTAGGTTAAACTCTGTTTTATTAATAATAATGAAAAGGAAGCCCTTTTTTCCTGAAGTTGAGGAAACAGAATCAGAGAAGTGGTAGACACCACACTCATAAGTGTCCTCTCAACACACACAAATCTGGGATGTTTTCCTCCACACTCCAGTCCACATCCCAATGGGCTGGTGATGAGACACCGTCGACATGCACCCTTTTTAACTGGAGGTAAGGGCCTGCAGGCCATCACACGGTACTGCAGCATGCAAATCACTGCAAAGTGACCTCCCTTTTAAAACCCTGGTTGCATTCTTTAAAAAGAGAGACAGAGATAAAGAAAGAAATACGTGCGTGTTCTGAAAGGAATAAACACAACTTATGTTAAAGAAGGAATACAGAAGTGGCTAGAATGTTCGGTATCTTCAAGGGAAATATAATTCATCCTCACTACACTGTGAAACACTCTAGAAACAGTCACACTTCACATGGCTCACGGACTCACTTGCTACCCCCGTGCCCACAGCTCTCTCCTTGAGCTTGGAGGAGGCCCCAGTGCCAGGCTCACAGCCCTGGGAGGAGCGGTGATAGGAACCTCTCCCTCTGGTTGACTGCTCTGGCCTTGACCCCTGATAATGAGCAGCTGACCCTGATCTGTTTCCACTGACGATCTCAGAATTTGCCACGGCCATACCCTCTTCTCAACACTGTCTCCTATAATGTTGATTACCCACCCCGAGCCCGTTTTCCTTCACTTGGTGTCCAGCCAGCAGCTGAAGACCCCTTGACGTGGCGCAAACAGGACGTGGAACGTTCCTCAACCCACGGGGTCTCAAAGTCTAATTCGTATGAGCCTCCCCCACGCCAGCAACCAGCTGGAGAAGTCCTTAAATTTGAGCCTTTAATATAAAGAAACACACACACTGTCTAACTTGGAGTAATGTCCTGGAGAATATATCAACGGGTATGAGAAAAAAATGTAAGCAGCATATAAAAAATGCTTGGAAATCAGAGTTGCTTTCGAGATCAGATACGCTTGTGAACATCTAAAGGAACGGGCAGACCCGACTAAACCTACGTTCATTCATTTCATGGGTCTCTTCGGTGTCAGTTAATCGAAGATTTGAATTGATTAACAGAACTCACATCAGTGACACACAATTAATTAACACCAGTACACACACACATTCTTGAGAACATGGATTTTTTTTTTTTTTAACTATGCTTTGGCTTCATACCTTTAATTCCTCTTTCAGCATGACTACTTCTTCTCTAAGATCATCTCGGTCACTCCTTATGGAATCAAAGAACTCTTTCTGCCTCTCTAAAGCCTGAGTGTGAGCAGAGCAAAGGGAGAGAGAAGTTTGCACAAGTGAGCAGGTGACTGAAGCGAGAACAAGGAGGATTCCGCTACGTAGAACACCGCCAGAGTTAAAGCACTGTGTAGAATGTGCTTCAAGATACAGACAAACGCAAATGCTAAGCTTCTCGTGAATTTATGGCAGCCAAGGAACGTTGCCTCCTGCCTCCTTAAAGGCACTCAGAGGCTGCTGTATGTGCACAGCTTTCCAGCGTGGTGAGAGAATGGACACAAGCCATGCACCCATTCAAATGGGAGATAAACGAGGAAGAAGAAATGCGTAAGAAACCCCAAGTGACGACTTCGACTATTCTTCTACATTGATTCTTGGCGTTCGCTGTCGCAGAGGAGCATGAAGTGGTCCTAAGGCAAACACACGTGCGCACGCTCGCCAAGTCCTAAATGAGTGTGGATGAGGATACAGAAGGGAAAACCAGCACAGCCTCCCACGGCACATGCACCGACGCTGTGCTCCAACATCTGGAGATCTGCATCAGAGCCGTGCAGGATGGGCTGCTGTGTTCTGGAAGCCATTTGTCATTGGGAAGCATGGCGGTTACTCTAAGTGGGCTCTTGTCTTCCTACTCGTCACTCCTAAAGGCAGGCGGGCTGTGGTTGCTTTTCTTGTTAAAGGAGAGGGGCCTGGGGCCTCCATGGGGACAGGTCAAGGAGGGAACACATGGGCACAGCACCCGCCACCTTGCAGCTTCCTCAAATGCCTTCAAGAAAGGCCCAGGCCACACCGGACAGAGAATCCGAGAGGCCCGAGCCTCCCCACGTCCCACCTGCCCTAGGGTGCCTCCCTCACTCCTTGTATCTCAGGCTGCTGCTGGCCCGCTCGGTGCAGGCTCAGAGCCCAGTTAGCGTCAGCAAGGTGCCCACCCCATGTTGGAAGTGCACTTCAAGTTCAGAGTTACTGTGAGCTTGAGTAAACTAGTGTATTCTCTGTATTATCAGTTCTGTGTCATGTGGGGGCGCATGCATGCTCACACAAGCGTTTCTGCATCTGCTAGCGGACTGCCCCTTTGAACAGTTTCACAGACTCGGGAGTCCTACCCCTATCTTCTTGTCTTTCCACTCTATTGTTTCCTGAAGATCAGAAATCTCCCTGATATAACTCGCCTGCTTCTGCTGTAGCTGTCGGATTTCCTGAGGAATAGGAACAGATAGAAAGAAAGCAGATAAAGGGTTAAGCAGGAAGACAAAGTGCAGGGCTCGATAATCCGAGAGCGGTGACTGCCCGTGAGCCCACAGACATGTGTGGAGGAGGGTACCAGCCCCATTTCCTGCATTAGCCCGGATTTGCCTCTGAATGCCGGAACCTCTTCCTTGGCCTTAGCCTCCAGCGGCCAGAGAAGCAGGAGAGACCCTGCCTGGGGCACATTCTTACTTACAGGCACTAGTTCAAGTTCTGATCAAGTTAAAAAGTTAGAACCAACCCTGTATCAGTTTCCTATTGCTAAGGTCACAAGGTGCCATTAATTCAGCGGCTTAAAAACAACGTGAATTTATTCCCTTATAGCTCTGGAACTCAGAAGTCCAAAATGAGTCAATGAGTCTGATGCACTAGAATCAAGGTGTGGGCAGGTCTGGATTCTCTTCTGGAAGCTCTAGGGGAGAACCCATGCCCTCCCCGCCTTTTTTTTTGGCTTCCAGAGGCCACCGCATTCTTTGGCTCTTGGCCCCTTCCTCATGTGGCACCAGCCTTGCTACCCCACCCCCCCACCGTATCTCCTCCCACTACCTCTCTTGCCTCCCAGCATAAGGAGCCCGTGATGACAGTGGGCCCCCAGTTAATTTAGGGTCACTCCCCATCACAAGGCCCTTAACTGCACCACACCTGCACTGTCCCTTCTGGTGCATAAGGTGCCACATCCACAGGTCCCAGGGATCGGGACATGCACATCTCAGGGGGCCATCATTCTGTCAGCCACGCCTCCCAAAACAAACACAAAGCCCCCAAAGAATGAGAATCTTCACCAATGAAAGGAACCATTTTCCTTAAGTGAGGCACGGAGAATTAGCCTAGACTCTCAATTTTCGAGGAAACGGTTAACTCTCGTAATGAACCCCCCAAATACTCCTAAGACACAGAAGGAAGAGCAAACGAGGGAGCGCTACTCACCTCCAGCAATTCTTCCCGCTGCTTCAAGGCCTCCTTCACTTCGGCAAACTGGAACTGCAGGATGCTGTGGGCGTGCTTTTCCCTCTCAAACTCCTACAAGGGAGGGAAAGAACATGGACATGGTGACGGAACCACACTTTCTTTCAAGTTCACGTCCCCATGACTTACGCTGACCTTGGAACAAACTACCTATTACCACGTCATCACAATTTTCAAGGCCTTTTTAGCAGCACAAGCCCACTTCTCTGGACTTTCTGATTTCCTATAAACTTCCCTGTGGACCTGATGCATCAGACAGGTGCTCCCTGAATCTTACCAGGATGGCAGGGCCCGGCGGGGCGGGGAGGGGGGGGCCCTCTCCAGGGGGGCTGTCTGTGCAGGGGGCCTGGAGGAGGCAGCTCTGTGAAGGACTTGGGTTGGAACTAGCCCTGATTTTGAAATCGGACAAGGAATACGCTTTAGGATAAAAAGAGAGGTAAATATGGTCTACTTTGGCAAGCTTATCTCATTAAGTGGATGGCCAACCCTGTACCCCAGCGCCCCCACTCCAGGGACAAAAGCATAATACTGCACAATCCATGAGGATGGTCTGGTACCCAACAGTTCAGGACAGCAGGGTATATACCTGCCAGGTCGGTCAGGGGGTTAATCTGGAAGGGATGTGACCTTCGCTCCTCACCCTGGCCTCACCTGCTCACCCACTTTCTGAAGTTCGAGGGTGACCGGTCCCCTCCTAGCTGTGACAAGGGCCTGCCTATCGGGCTCTGCTTGGTCCCTGTTCCCCAGCTTGGAACAACATTCCAGGATCATCCAAATTCTCTGGAATTAGATTTGGGGGTTCTTGGTCTACTTCCTGATGCCTGATTGAGGACATCCTAGGAGTGTTTAGGATACATCAGAGTGTCCTCCCCACAGTGGGGTCCACAGTGAGCATCTGCTCTTATAACTGTATAATCTATGTCATCATCAGGTCTCATGGGAAGCTTCTCCTTTGTTTCAGAGTTTAGCTCTCAGGAACTTCATAAATAAAATTCTTCTTTAGCTCCTAAATTCTATATAGTCAAAGAAGGAGACCTTTGAGTTGCTAATGGCACCTTGGTTTTAACCCTTGGGATTTAGGGGATAAAGCCAGTTAAAAAAAAAAAAAGTGACACAAATTAGATTTTCTGTTTACCTCAGCAACTCTGAAAAATTGGACAATATCCTAGGGTTTGATAGACTAACTCATTCCTAAAACTGAAAAACAAGTATTCCCTGCTTTATATCCCACAAAGAACATCTAATTAGTCTTTTGTCATTGATTGCAACATAGGCTCAGACTTCTTGCTGCTATCATAATTAATTTAGCTTAATGAAGGTATGTAATTCTTAAATGGAATAAAATAAATGAATATATTTGCAACTGGCTATTTCTCGATGTTGTTAAAAGATAACAAAATAAAAATCCAGAAATTTATCTTAACAGGAAATTATTATTTTTTAAAAAAGATCTTTTTATTAAGTCATCTCTACACCCAACGTGGGGCTCAAATGTATGACTCTGAGATCAAGAGTTGCATGGTCTACTGGCTGAGCCAGCCGGGTGCTCCAACAGGAAAATCCTGAAGCACCTAATTATGTCCATCCAAACATGTTGGTTCTTTGTAGGCTTGTTTTTTCCTGGTTACAACTTTATCTTACATGCAAAACACACAATGTTCTCCCAGTAAAATTGTCTCTAGTTTACAGAGTGAAATTGTGCATATTAATATTTCAAAGCCCTCTGCAAAGAGCATGGCATTCTTATTCACAGATGTTTGGGCTTCCTGGACAAGTGGAGAACCGCTATCTACACACACACACACAC